AGTCTCGTGTATAAATATATTATTTTTTCTCTAGTACAATAATAAAAAGTAATACAATTTGAGAATTCAATCAGTAAATTATTAAATACACGTAGCAATAATAAATTCACCGTGCCAAACATTTCACAAAATCTCGTGTGAATACGAGGACCTTTATATAAATTTGAACTAACATTACGTGTTGAGAAAAATCACATGAAAAATCCAAAGCCAACCAAGTGATGAGTGGCTCTCAACATGCCTCCTCATACCACTCCTCCACACACCACAAAACACAAGAAAATCAAATCTTTAACACAAATTCTAACAACTTTACAATAACCTCAAAACATTTTCATCAAACACAAAAAGTTTCTATGGCTACTTCCATTTCTGCTACTGGTTTCAAAGGGGGCCTTTCCTCTTCTTTCCATGGAAGCTGGGGAACTTCCATTGTTGGTGAAGCCGTGGTGGTGCCGCCATCCAACGTTCGGGTTGCGCGGCCGGTCCGATCGCAGCCTATGATGAAAAACGTTAATGAAGGAAAAGGTCTTTTTGCTCCAATTGTTGTAATCACTAGGAACATTATAGGCAAGAAAAGGTTCAATCAGCTAAGGGGCAAAGCCATTGCTTTACACTCACAGGTACTTGTAACAACTTGTTAATACTACTTTGATAATCCGCACGTGTATGTTATGCAATACTAAATACGACCGAAAAATATAGTTTTTAGGGATTGAAAGACTACATATAAAGATAATGATGAATCGAGCAAGGATCGTTAATTTCTTTGTGCTCCTGCAAAGTTTGAAGTACCATTTGTGAATGCTAATTAACACTTTCGTTTGCATTGAAATGTGTAGGTAATTACTGAATTTTGCAAATCCATAGGAGCAGATTCTAAACAAAGGCAAGGACTGATTCGACTAGCAAAGAAAAATGGAGAAAGACTTGGATTTCTTGCATGATTGGATATCATTATTTTGTCATTTTAATGTACTTTGTTTGTCCCAGAAAGAGAAGTAGTAGATTATGTATTAAGAACATCAAGAAAATGTACAACTTCATTTGAGTTTGCCTTTGAAAATGAGATCTATATTTTGATTTTCCTTGTTCATTTCACATCGTTCAGCTCCATTCTTCCAGCTTTTCAATTAGTAGAATAAATTGATGAAAGGGAAACTATGTTGACACGTTTAGAATGTTCGACGAGATGTGAGATATTGATGTGTTGTGTTGTCCTGTCCAACTTAGCCATACTGAACGAGCCTAAAATTCGTTAGATGAGAGTGAAGCACCTTGATTGAAATCAATCAAATTACCAGAAATCTTGACTAGAATATGACAGCATGAACGATTGGTTTGTGACTAATTCAGTTCAAAATTGTTCAAACTGATAATATAATGCAGGGATCTTCACACATTCTAGCTGATCTTTCCAATGTAGAATCATCCTCCAATAATCAGGTGAAAGAAAGAAACCATTGTGCAAAACAAAGAGTATAGTGACATTCATCCTTGTGCTTACCTGCACTGCAAAGATCATTCAATTACAAGCTGCCTTGTACATATAAAACCGTAAAGGTTGTATCGTACACAAGATTGGACAAGATGAGACACTATAAAATCTGAGCCACTTCATTTGTGTCTACGTCGAAAGTTTTTCTTGCCCTTGGTGCACACTAGAAACCACTCCATAAATCTCATCAACCTCGTCAAATCGCACTCCAATTAGAGCCATCAACTAACCAACAAAAACCCATTACGTCAAGACAAAAGGTGAACTAGTTCAACGGGGACAGATACCAAAACACCAATATTATTCATCTAGTAGGATGTCATAATTACACTTTATAACATCATCAGAGTAAAGAAAGTCGTTCTATACAGTTTCAAGTTATGTGTTATTGAGATTATCCTTTCGGTTGCGAGTAACAATCCACTTACCTCCAGTAGCACAGGGCATGCTTGTATGCAGTCAAACTGGAGTGCACCGTACAATAGACAATAACTCTTATTACCGATAGACTGTAGGTCAACTACGTGAATTCTTTTTCATCATTCCATTCTATTTAGAACTACCTTGAGTGAAGCACCCCCATCACACCAAGTCCACTTCAGTTCATGGAAATTCTGAAGGAATCAACAGTTTTCAAAATTTAGATTTTGAAATTTTGTCTTTAAAACAAAAGAGTTCAAAAGTATTTTGAGAAACAAATTTATCAACGTTCTTTATTTCTTACATAATTCGTGTAAACTTTTATGATTTAGTCAATGTCTCTTTTTTATACTTTCGAAACTTTCGCGGAAGAGGTGTCCAAATGGATGGATGGATCGATCTAGACGGTCTGCTCTAACATGATCTAGAATTGTCTTAATGGACCTGTTTAAAAATATGGTTTGAGCCAAGTCCATACCACCTTCCAATATAGCAGAAGCCATTCCAATCATGCTCGAAACCATTCCAAACACGCTCCAAGTCAGTCTATCCGGTCACTTTCTTTTTTCCCTTTTTTAGAATTTGATTCAATTTAAATTAAGCCATATAAAAAACTTTATAAACGTCGGGTTAAATTCGAGTGGATTGAACTGGTCCTATAGGGTCACTAGGCCGAGCTGATTTCGGTTCAAATTTTTTAATAAGATAGGTTGTCTTGAGTCTAGACTACTCTTTCTATTTTGACATTAATTTTTAGTTGTCGGTACCTAGGAATGTTGATTCCGCTTTATATTTTTCTTAAGAAACAAAAGATTAACAAAAATTTCACGAGGTCAGCATATTAAAGGTCCTGGTAAATTCTTGCACTTTAATCGAACCTATTTTACATTTAGTTGCTCAAAATTACATGGTAGTATTAATGGTACTAGTTAACGTTATTCAAATAGAAATATATAGAGTAGGAAATTGACACATGGTCCATGTTGATGGCCTATAGTCTGCATGTCTCCTACGCTGTTAGGAGTTGCTACGTAAATTATTTCCACGCCAATTTCTCTATCTATATCTGTATATTTTATACACTGTTACACAGTGACATCTTGGAGAGAGCGAGAGAGAGATGGCAACAGTTGGTGTGGTGGAGAGAAATCCTGCACTGTCACCGGAGGCGCCACTGGCGCCGGTGACGGTGGAGCGGCCGGTCCGTGCAGACTTAGAAACATCCATTCCAAAGCCCTGTAATTTCTTCTCTTAGCCATTTTGTTCTTGTATCTTGAGATATTGAATCGTAAGTTTTAAGCTTCTAAACTTGTCGGTCCCATTAGGTCTTTTTTTTTTCCATAGTTAAATCTAATTTTCAACATAACATAGAAAAAATTGTATAGCCAATTGATTTATCTAAAGTTGAATCAAATTAACCCTAAAATTGGTGATTTGCAACTCTTGTATAGTTCTAAATTCTAATGGATATGTGCTACAAAATTGTGATATGCATTGTTAATGTGGGATTTTGCTACACATTTACTATCTTACTAATTTCTCTGCTAAACGAGAATTTAAGATATGCCAAGAGGATTGGCTGCCCCCCAACCTGTACCAGCCCATAGGAACACCAGGCCTTGTGCATAACCATTTGAGTGTTCTTCAACAGCACGTAGCTTTCTTCGATCAAGATGACAATGGAATCGTTTATCCATGGGAAGCTTATGTTGGTAATTGTCATACTGTAACTTAGTTAAACTCATGCTTCACCGGGCATTACTCTATAAAATGGCGGTATGGACGAAACCCTCTTGATTACTTGTTTCTCTCTTTTCCATTCTCTAATCACATTCTTGGATTATTTGCACAGGACTTTGCCAAACTGGGTTCAGCACAATTGTGTCTCTTATAATAGCGGTCGTCATTAATGTCGCGTTGAGCTACCCAACACTTCCGGTAAGTGCCTTTGTGACAAGAATGATCCTATTTGTACGTAAGGAGTTATATAATAATGGTTTACGTATAAATGAGTAAATAAGGTCAGAGAGGCGAAGTTTTCTTCTTCTTCTTTTTAGCCCCCGTTTGATTCACATTTTTTGGTCATTTTAGAAAAATCCAGACCGTTGCACAGTACCATGATGCAGTCAATTGGGGCCCAGCGTGTAGACTTCCACTGTGCAACATGAAAGATTTTTCTGCCATTTTCCACTTCTGCCCTCCCCCATTTGTAGAGTTAGAAGGTGAATTTGGGGATTAATTGGATGGTTTGGGGTAAAAAGGGGAAAAAGGCAAAACAAAATGCAAAAGCTGGCCGCCTTTGAAAACGTTGTGTCGGGATGAAAGACAATAGTCAGTCAGTTCCTTTGTCAGTGCAACGGTCGAGTAATGCATTTTTTTGTCAAAAAAATGCGCATCAAGCATGCCCTTAATTTTTATTTGGTTGAAGAATTTCTTATCTTAGTGTACATAAACCATAAATCATTATGTACATGTAACACTGTCAATACTCAAACTCTTTCGGATGTTAGAACACAATTACTATTGAAGGTCTTAAGGAGAGTGTGGAGAAAAAAATCCCACGAGAAATCTTGATTCCGGGTTCAGAAAACAACCAAACGAACACTACACTACCAAGACTTGACCCAAAACTTCTACACTTTGTTTGCTCTAAGTTTCATCCCCACGAAGGAGATATGGTGGTGGTGATTGCAAGCCCACATAGGAAGGAAGGAGAAGAGAATAAAAATGGTTGGAACTCACCAAAAAATCCACCAAACAAAATCCGACTGGCTCTCCTCTCCACTCTCTTGCATACACTTTACACACACCCAAAAGAGGGATAGGAATGGGGGGAATAAATAGGGGTCAATTAGGTCACTTAATTTTGGGCCAAACACTCCCTCCAAAATGGGTACTAAATGGGCTACCAAATAATTTCCACAACTAATCACATAAATGGGTTAATAACATAAACATCAAAACCCAAACTTGGGCCATCCAAAAGTATAGGTCGTTTCCGAGTCGAGTCACGTCTATGGTGTCGCTAAATAATCCGACAACTGTTTCACATCTCGCCCGAATTTATTGGGTATCAAAAACCCAACAAATCTCCACCTTGATTCCCAATAATTCTGCAAGCAAATAAAAAACACACAGTTTATATTTGCATAATCAAGACAACCAATAGAATTGATATCACAGAACTTACCTCGTGTTTCCAACTTGAAACACATACCATACCTGCTCCATATACTCACCAGGGCTAAGGTCACAAACACCCAAGTAGAAGCAGATAATAACAACAATCAATCAGAGCAAATAAACATGCGATGGAGATATCATATAGGATAATCCACAGATCTTTTCAAAGAATGTTCACATAGAACAACAAATTAACACCTAGTCAATTAAAGCACACAGTCAACACATATGCAACAAATGCATAAATGACCCCACAAAAAGATCTCACCACACTTATCCTATCTCATTCCATGTTGCTCACACCTTGAGAACACATATCTCACTTCATCGCCCAGCATGTTCACTAAATTGATCGCTCAACTAATGTCTAACTGGTAGAATCTCTATAGGTCCTAAATCCTTGGGATAATCATTTATCACCACATTGCTTCTCCCAACCTAAGTGGATAATGGGTCTCCACCTAATAGTAGTGTCTCCCCCGCACTCCACCTGATCAGGGTCTCTTCACAGATAAAGGATTCCAACATTTAATCACCTTTCCACTTGTGATCCAAATGTCACACATACAACATCCCCGTGCATATCACCAATGCACCTCCAAGCATCTATACTCCACGGATCTTACCTCACCAATATACATCTTCACTGCTAATGCATCACAAACCCATTATGGCAAGTCAACACCTTTTGGTGACCACAAAAGTTAAGGTTCAATTTAAATTGACCCACATACCACAAGGTTACTCCATCACCAATGCTCTTACAAATCCACAAAAAATTTACCCCACAAAGGGAAATGTGAATGTGGCACTCATAAAGAAAATAGAAGAAAGAGTTGGTTATTTCACCGCACTCACAAAAGAAGCTCACAAAGAGAAAGAACATAACCCTCACATGGCTACCTCACATAATCTCACAAACCACACATGCTCACAAAGATGAAGGAGAAAATGGCTACCCTTCTAACTACTCACTACCACACTCTCTTACACCTCTCACAGAGTAAAGTGGAGTACGCCATAGATATCAGCCCCCTATGCATGCAAACACATTATACAAAGTAATAAGATCACTTTAATTCATGCCGTTACACACATCAAACATATTGAAAGTGTAATATATCACCATGCAACAGAATTAAGTGATCACACATAAAGAAATGGTGACACATAGATGCTCGTACAGTAACTATGTTCACTGTCAATAAACCTCACACGGGTCATTACTCGACCTAATGACAGAATTCACCTCACCATTCTCCTAATCTTCCCTTTTATTATCATTCATAGGACAGTCTATTTCAACAATGTCCACATTACCACAATTAAAACATATCTTAATTTTCGCACTTGCCTTAGACCACATTTGCCATCAAAAGGTTTTACGAAAAAAAATTTCGTTTTGCTAAATTAAAAAATCACAATTTTTATTAAACATGCACAACTCATAATGTGTCGTCATTTTACCAAAAAATGCACAGAACACAAAATGCAACAAACAATGACCACAAGTAAAGTACCGACACAATTTACACAGAATAGTCAAGTAACCTTTCCTAAGGTCACGCGGAATTCTAATAATGAAAAAATTAAATTGACAACTAATTCACATAAAATTCAAGGCAAATAATTAACAAGTAATTCCTAAGTCTAGCAACAAGCAATGATTACCCATTCACGGTAATCCCAAACATAATGTCACCCCACATGATGACTTCTAATATGAAAAATGAATCGTTACTCTATACGATAACAATAACTGTAATAATAAAAGACAAAGAATACGTTACCGAGCGGACCACGTCTAAAGGTTCGTAAATATCGAGAGCTGCGAATTTACCACTTTGGGACTACCGCAATCCGCCCCAAAGCTTCCGTCAACACGAAACGACACCCGATATCCTAACGTCCAAAAGCAAAATCGTCTCGATTTCACCGTATTGCTTGAAACTGAAATTCGACAACACCGTAGGGTCCTTCTCATCACCGCAACATTTTGTCTTTCAGAAGACCACCAGAAAATGCTCCACGCGCCTTGCTGGAGTTTGCGCATGGGCTTCACACGCAGGCCACGCGTCGTCGGCTCCACGCGCCGGCCGGCCTGCCAGATTTTTATCCACCTGCACGTCACTCCAGTGGTGTTCTTTTTATCCACTAGATCTCTCGATTCGCTGAAAAATGCATTTGTAGGTCTAGCCAAAATTTGAAAAAATCGAACAGCTTCTTTCTCTATTTTTCTGCCAATTTAAGGCCTTTTTTGGTCAATTTCCGCCACTTTTTCACCCAAAAAATTACAGATTTCTCAACAATCAAGCTTTAATACCATTTGTGAATAAAAAATCCCTCGAGAAACCTTGTTTCCGGGATAAAAAAAACCAAACGAAAACTACACTATCAAGGCTTGACCCAAAACTTCTACACCTTGTTTGCTCCAAGTTTCATCCCCACAAAGGAGATATGTGGTGGTGATTGCAAGCCCACACAGGGAGGAAGGAGAAGAGAATAACAATGGTTGGAACTCACCAAGAAATCCACCAATCAAAACCCGACTGCCCTTTCTTCTCCATGGCTGCCTCTTTTCTCCACTCTCTTGCGCACATTTTACACATACATAAAAAAGGGCTGGGAATGGGGGGAATAGATAGGGGTCAATTATGTCACTTAATTTTGGGTCAAACACTCCATTCAAAATGGGCCAAAGTCCACTAAGTGGGTTACCAAATAATTCCCACAACTAATCACATAAATGGGCTAACAACATAACCATCCAAACCCAAACTTGGGCCATCCAAAAGTATAGGTCGTTTCCAAGTCGAGCCAAGTCTCTGTTGTTGCTAAATAATCCGACAACTGTTTTACATTATAACCCGAATTTATTGGGTTTCAAAAACCCAACAGAGAGGATAAGAATAGTTGTCAACATCCTACGTAGTTGTCCATTTGAATCATCCTAGGTATACTTATTATTTCATTCTTTTAGGGTTGGATACATTCTCATTTCTTCTCGATTTACATATATAACATACACAAGGCCAAGCATGGAAGTGACAGTGGAACCTATGACTCTGAAGGAAGGTGTGAATATTTTTATATATATCTTTGACTACCCATGGAAGTATATGTTCTGTCAAAAGGTACAAAACCCAGTGTTGTAGGTACTTTCCTGTGAATTTCGAGAACATGTTTAGCAAATACGCACGCACTGTGCTGACAAGGTTACACTCGGAGAATTTTGGAATATGATTGAAGGTAACCGTCAAGCATTTGACATCTTGGGATGGTCTGTATTGTTAGTCTAAATCTGTGTTGTTCTACATTTCATTTGTTGGTTGTTTAATTTTGTTCTGTAATTTGAATTTGTAGGGTTGCCAGCAAATTGGAATGGGGAGTTCTCTATGTTTTAGCGAGGGACAAGGAGGGTTTTCTTTCTAAAGAAGCTATCAGAAGATGTTAGTATGTTACAATGGGAGTTTGTTTGAATATTATGCCAAGGTGCAAATGGCCGCAGAGAAGAAGACGAAATGAAGCGAATTCTAGTTTCTGTTGTAAATGAGTTCGGTTAAGTCGTGCTTGTGAATAAGATAAAGTACATGGTCATTAGACTCATGGGAATGCTTCTTTGTTATCGATGCTTGTTGCATGATATGTAGTATTTATCAAGTCTATATCAATTTAGCTTGTTGCATAATTTTTCTCGATGCTATACCACTATGGGAAAGAGGATCAAATTATGCTTTACAGTCCTACAACTCGTGTTTGTCGAATCCAATCGAGTAAGAAGCATGCCAGCGTCAATTAGGAACAACCCTAGATCCTACTCAAAAGAGGACAAAGGCCATTTCCAGGGTATTGGTAGTGTAGGCTTTTGTGGTTCTCCTAACCTATTGGGCTGACCCGGTTTGTGCTACTTTCAATTTTGGCTTTTGGATAAATTGGACGGTTGTGATTAAAACTTGACTAAATATTTTGTTGGCCTCAACTTTTGGTCTCTAAAAATTCACATGAGTTTGGCTTCCTTTATACTTTTCATTTTCCCTCTTCTTCAATACGCTTTCTGTGGTCCGTTTTCTCTCTTCTTTGTGGTTTTCATCTTTCCTCTTCTTCCTTGTACCAAAATCGACCCAGTAGCCCAATTGATTGAAGAAACCTTGGTGTTTTTCTTTGGCCCGAAATAGTGGCAAAGGGTGTTGGTTTCTCTGTTGGCTGTCGGTCCGATTGTTGGTAGGAATCTTGGCTATTTTGGGAGATCTCTTGATCGATGATCCAAGCCAAGTAAGGGAATGTTCTGGCTAGTTCTCTAGCTCTCTCTGGAAGATGATTTACATGACATGGAAGGCTGTTTCTGAGCTTAGACATTTTAGTCGAAAATCAGAGGAAGAACGGTAAAAGAGAAGTAACATTTGGCTGGTGGTTTCTGTCTCGTTTATGTTCAAAGTTTTCAGTTTCTATGGTTTATGTTTTTTGTTGATTTCTCCATATTATGATTATGCTAGATACCATTGGTGTATGCTGATTTCTGTATATGTTATGTATGCTGGTGATTATTGAACTCTGTCATAGATTGCTGTATCAGTTGGTTATTGAGTTCGGCTATTATGTTGTTGAATTGGGTTAGCCTTTGCTGATATCTGTTTATGCTGTCGTAAATTCCTAACATCTGGTATCAGAGCTAGCTTTAGGTCTAGGGTTTTATTTTATCCTTTACTGATTTGGGGTTTTATGATTCTGTCATTAATATATCTGTATATGCCTTTTGAGGATTAAACAGAAACTATTACGGTTTTTGGGCATCTTGTGTTTTCAGATTTCGACGCTGATTTCTCATGTTTTGTTTGTTGTGTATGTTGTTGAATGGACTGAGTGATTTGGTGAAATTTGGCTGCCTTGCTCGATAGAGGAGCTGAGGGTATTGTTACTATTTTATCAAACAGTTGGTTGGAAAGATTATTCCAAACTCTCCGATAGGTTAGGTTTGGTATTTTTACCATTTTATGCACGATTGCTTGGTTATTGAATTCTTGTGATTAATTTGTAACCTGAAAAGCATATTTACCTGTATCATATACCTGTGCATTGGCTAAGTTTGTATCACACTTGCACATAGATCACATAGAGGTTTAGTGATTGGATTGTTTCATTGTTGTGCTTCATTTCCGAACATTAGTTTTAACTCTGCATTCATGTTGTGTGTTGATCATCTAGAAAATATTTTTTCAAAACCTTTTCTATTGTGTCCATGAGTACGGGCCACTCTTTTACAGAATCTGGAATGGGTTCGAGGGTCTAATTATCGCAATTCAACGGAAATGGGGACTACTCAAATTGGAAACAGAAAATGAGGGCCATTTTGGTCCAACAAAGAGTTGCTAAAGCTCTCGATGATCCTTCTAATTTTTTTGATAAGTTAAGTGCTAAACAATGTGAAATTGAAGATATGAATGAAATTGCATATAGTTCTATAATTTTGCACTTATTTGATAACATTGTTAGACAAGTTGATAGTGCCAAAGATGCTAGGACTTTATGGACTGCCTTAGATGCCTTATTCTTGACTAAGACTTTACCTAACAAGATATATCTGTTGGAAAAAACTATTTGGTTTTAAGATGGACCCGGGGAAGGATATAGAAAGGAATTTAAGTGATTACAGCATAATTGTTAGGAGTCTAGCTCATAATGATAAGAAGTTTGATGATGAGGATTTAGCTGTCATACTGTTAAATGCACTTCCTGAATCTTATAAAGAAATTAGAAATGCCATAAAATATGGTAGGATACTCTGTCCCAGACTATTGTTATAGATACGTTGAAATCTAGAGAACTTGAACTAAAAAGAGACAACATAACTAATTCGAGAGAAGAAAGTTTGTCTGTTAGGGGAAGACCTGAAAAGAAAGAATTTAACTTCCAGAACAAAAAGGAAAGGGGAAAATCTAAAATGTGATCCAAATCTAAAGATAAAAGTGGTAAGAAATTCTATAACTGTGGAAAGTTATGGCATTTCAAGAAAGACTGCTTTGACTGAAAAAAGAAACAAAGAGACTTAAACAATACTGAGCAAAACAATGCTGCTGTTATTTTTGAATTTGATAGTCTACACGTCCTGAATGTGTCTGAGGGAAAATTTAATAAAAAATGGATCCTAGACACAGCACCACCTTTCACATGTGCCTAGAGAGGTCTTGGTTCTATAACTATCGAGAGGTTGAACCTAGGAAGGTCTACATGGGAGACAACAATTCTAAGAATGTGGTTGAGGTTGGTGACATAGCCATCAGGATGTACGATGGGGTTGTCAGGCAACTCAGGGAGGTTAGATATGTCCCTAATTTAAAGAGGAACCTCATTTCCTTAGGAACTCTTGAAGATGAGGGATATACTTTTAAATTTGGTAACAACGTCTGAAAATTTTTAAGGGATCTCTGATAGTTATGAAAGGACCCAAGAGGAATGGGTTGTACTATCTAGAGGGCAAAACTGAAAGAACACCTGATTCAAGTCTTCTTGCTGTTAGTAAAGATAAAATCGAACTTTGGCATAACAGAATGGGTCACATTGGGTTTAAAGGGCTAAAATCCTTAAGTAATCAAAAATTGCTTGGAAATGATTAAATTGAAACAATGGACTTCTGTGAAACATGTTTTTGGGTAATTCCCATAAGGTTAGCTTTGAAGCTAGATCTCATAGGACGAGAAGTCCATTGGACTATATTCATGCTGATCTATGGGGTCCTGAGACGCATTCCACATTTGGTGGAAATAAGTATTTCTTATCCTTAGTGGATGATTACTCAAGAAAGGTTTGGATTTATCCTTTAAAGGCTAAGTCGGAAACTTTTGGGAAATTCAGAATTTAGCTTAAATATGTTGAGAATCAATAAGACAAGAAACGTAAAACATTAAGAACTGATAATGAGCTTGAATTCTACAATGTTGAATTTGACAACTTCTGTAAGCAGAAAGGGATAATAAGACACAGAATAGTTAAATACACACCTGAACAGAATGGGATCGCCGAGAGAATGAATAGGACCATAATGAACAAGGTTAGTTGTATGTTGATTAGTTCTGGCCTTACCAAAGGTTTTTGGGTTGAAGCTGCAAGTACTGTAACTTATCTGATTAATAGGTTACCGTCCAACAGTATAGGGTTTAAGACCCCTCGAGAATTGTAGACGGGGAGCCTCCAAATCTGAGTCACCTGAGGGTGTTTGGATGTGCTTCATTTGCACATCAATCTGAAGGGAAACTTGAGCCTAGTTCTGTAAAGTGTGTGATGTTAGGGTATCCAGAGGGTGTGAAGGGCTATATGTTATGAGTTTTAGGGGTTCAATGTATTAAGATCATTAACAGCAGGAATGCAGTCTTTAATGAATCTGAAATGCCATGTCTAAAACAGAAAACTAATGAAACTAACAAATTTGAAACTGAGAGAAGAGGCCTATATCACAAAATTAGTTTGCTTCTGAAAAGAGAATCTTTTCCATTGCTCTCTTCCACCGTAAAAATTGTTGAAAACACAATTGCACGTCAGTCATCCCTTTATATCATTAGGAGAATCACATCAACAGTTGCATCTCCATATATTCCATATGACATTATTCAAGTGGCTGACTAAGCTTGATTTACCTACACTTAGGAATGATAATAATGACCCTACATATCACGAAATTGAAACTGAAATTGAAACTGAAACTGAACCTGAACCTGAAGAGGTGACTGAACTTCAAGATAACATTGAACCAATTGAAGTTGAATATTTTAATGATCAGCCACCTAATCAAAATTACCAGCTTACTAGGGATAGGGCTAGAAGGTAGATCGGGCCTAATCCTAGATATGAATCCCTAAGTTTGACCGAATGTGCCTTTGTTTCAGGTGAATCCCTTCAACAGATAGAACCTGCTACTTATGAATAAACTATTAATGGAAATTATTCTGAAAACTGGATAAAAGCTATGCAGGAAGAAATGAAATTTTTGAGTGATAACAAAACCTGAAAACTTGTTAAGAAATTAAAAGATCAGAAATTAGTTTCATGTAAGTGGATCTACAAGTTAAAAGAAGGTTTGAGCCCTAATGATTCTGTGAGGTATAAGGTGAGATTAGTGGCTAAGGGTTATACTCAAAGAGAGGGTGTGGACTATAATGAGATATTTTCACCAGTTGTTAAGTACAAGATAATCAGATTGATGTTGGCTCTTGTTATCAATTTAATTGGGAACTTGAACAACTCGATGTGAAAACTGCGTTTTTACACGGGGAGTTGGAAGATGATATCTTCATGAGCCAACCACAAAGATTTGTAGCTGGAGGCAAATTTGATTATGTGTGCAAGTTAGAGAAATCTTGTACGGGCTGAAACAGAGCCCAAGACGATGGTACAAGAGGTTTGATGCCTATGTACTGAAGATAGGGTTTAAAAGAAGTGAATTTGATGCTTGCTTGTATTTTA